TTTTCGTTGTGTTATGAAAAATATTCTTTTATTTAAAAAAAAATTTTTTTTTATTTTTTTTTTTTTTTTTTTTTTTTTTTTTTTTTTTTGGTTAGTTATGCTTTATGTTTTTAAAATTACTTAAAAACTCTTATGTGTTCTAATATTAACAGGAAGATGAGGACGGTCATTTGGTCGTCCTGCAAATGATACAAGACCTGATGATTAAAGGCAAAGATGAATTCTTAGAGCATTTCGCACGTTTAGGGGTGTTTTCGAAAGTTGCTGCTTTAGCTGGACCACAAGAAAGCACACCCGAGCCAGAAGCAGAATCAAATCAGTCAGGAGAAGAACAAAAAATGGAAGATGCAAAAGAAATATTAGTAGGAAGAGCGTATCACTGGAGAGATTGGTGTATATGCAGGGGACGTGATTGTTTGTACATCTGGTCTGATGCGGCGGCTTTAGAACTGTCGAATGGAAGTAACGGATGGTTTAGATTTATCCTCGACGGTAAATTGGCAACTATGTATTCCAGTGGAAGTCCGGAAGGTGGAACGGATACTTCCGGTGAGCATATATACAAATTCACATATACACATACATATATACATCTACACACTTACATATACGTGCACGCTTGGTCTTAAATTTATTAAAAAAAAAAAAAAAAGTTACAATGGATTTCAAACCACATATTATTATTCATCTTGCTGTTACTGTCTGTTTTACGTCGGAGTGTCGCTTTTGTCCCTTCTCCAGTTTTAGTTGTAAACGGATATATTCTTTTCAACGTTACTTTTGTATTTTTCATATGTGATTAACTTTTTTGTGAGGGGAACTATCTAGAAAATAACTGGTTTTACTAACTGCCTACAGGAAAGGGGCGAAATACAGAGTCGCTTAGTACTGAAGGTAGGTCACGTATATACATGTTTAACTTGTGTAGTAACTCGCACGTTATATCATTTATAATATATCTTTTCTACAATTTTATAAGTATTTCATATTTATTAAAAACATCTTTTTCACTTTCCTCTTGCATAACGTAATGAAAAATACATTCTTTTTATCATAGTATTTAATTTTATGTTACTTGTTAATAAGGTGAGATATATATATTGTTCTGTGAATTACAGAAAACCGTGGTGAATTTCTGGAAAAACTGCAAAGAGCACGTAATCAATTAAAAGTGAATTTTGTGAGTCAGCCTGTGCTTTCTCGGCCTGGTACTACACGTCTAGTTGTAGGAAATTGGACGTTATCCAGTAGAAAAGAAAGCGAATTATGTATACACAACAGTGATGGTCAACAACAAGCAACGATTCTCAGAGAAGACTTGCCAGGTTTCATCTTTGAATCAAACAGAGGTACTAAGCACTCTTTTACGGCTGAAACCAGTTTAGGTATGGAAAACATATGTAGTTGTTATGTGTTAACATTATCCTCTTATTGATATTAGTTTTAGAATTGTTAAAAATAATTGTAAAAAATTTTATCTTTAGGTCCGGAATTTGCAGCAGGTTGGACAGGCAAAAGAGGAAAGAGATTAAGATCAAAAATTGAAGCAATTAAACAGAAAGTTAAAGTAGAAGCACAAGAGATATATGAACGTTACTTTAAGGCGGCTCAAGCTCAACCGCGTGGTGTGGTTGCTAAACTTAGTGCTATTGTTTGTCAAATCGAGAAAGCAACTCAAAAACAACAATCTGGAAATCGCGAGTGGCGTAATATGTTACAAACTGCATTGGAACAACTGAAAGTGTTATTAAATGAAGAGGGTCGAGTGTCGTCATATGAATTGCACTCCAGTGGTCTTGTACAAGCGTTGCTAGCTTTACTGGCTGCACCTCCTGGACCATCATATCCAACATTAAGAGCAACAAAGCTTAGAATTCAAAGAATAGCTGTATTTAGAAGCTGTTTTCAAACAAAAGACATAAACAAAGACTATAATTCAGCTAAGATTTTAGTTCACAAATTGGTATCGGTGTTAGAATCAATAGAAAAATTATCCATCTACTTGTATGACTCGCCTGGATCAGGTTATGGTTTACAGGTATGTTATAATAATCGTATTGCTACACATACTTTTATACACTAAGTGCAACTTTATTAGTGATAAGTTTTGACGATGTTCCTTTGTTGATCATTTGTTCTTTTTCGTTTTGTTGTAATTCATTTATCTTTCGCAGATTTTGACAAGAAAATTACGCTTCCGATTAGAAAAAGCTTCTGGCGAGAGCGCGTTAATAGATCGATCTGGTCGTAGCTTAAAAATGGAACCGTTGAGTACGATACAACAATTAGAAAATCATTTATTAAAAATGGTAGCCAAACAATGGCACGATCACGATAGATCTACATTTACATTTGTGAAAAAATTGAAGGAAGAAAATAAAGTAACGTTCAAGTATCAACACGATTTTGATGAAAACGGTTTGCTGTATTGGGTCGGAACAAACGCTAAAACTTGTTCTGAGTGGGTAAACCCCGCCCAATATGGTTTAGTTGTCGTCACGTCAAGCGACGGAAGAAATTTGCCATACGGTCATCTCGAAGATATACTTAGCCGTGATCCATCGGCCTTGAATTGTCATACCAATGATGACAAACGCGCCTGGTTCTCAATAGATCTTGGAGTTTGGATTATTCCAAATGCTTATACTTTAAGACACGCAAGAGGATATGGTAGAAGTGCTTTGAGAAATTGGATGTTTCAAGCCTCAAAAGACGGTGTTACTTGGATAACGTTGTACGCTCATGTAGACGATTGTTCTTTAAATGATCCGGGTAGTACAGCAACTTGGACATTAGAACCTCCAAATGAAGAAACGCAAGGTTGGCGACATTTACGTTTACAACAAATAGGAAAGAATGCTTCTGGACAAACGCATTATTTGTCCGTATCCGGATTTGAAGTTTACGGAGAAGTTACTGGAGTATGCGAAGATTTAGGCCGTGCGGCCAAAGAAGCCGAAGCCGGTGTACGGAAGCAAAGAAGATTGATTAAAACACAAGTTCTTAAGCATTTAGTTGCCGGAGTCAGAGTAGCCAGAGGGTTAGATTGGAAATGGAGAGATCAGGATGGAGTACCGCCAGGTGTGTACAATGTACATGCAAATTTTTTTACTTAAATTTTTATCTAATGTTGATTGATATTAAAACTTAGCAATAAGAAAATGCCAAGTTAGACTTGTGTAGAAATTCAACGATATAATACTATATCTTCACGATGCAGGTGAAGGAACAGTTACAGGAGAATTACATAACGGATGGATAGACGTAACTTGGGATCATGGTGGATCAAATTCGTACAGAATGGGTGCAGAAGGAAAATATGATCTTAAGTTAGTCGGCACCAGTCTCGAAACAGATAGCGCAACAAAATGTAAAACTGGTGGAGGAGTTTTAACGGGTCGCAAATCAAATAGCACTCCTAGTTTGCCCGATTGCACCGACACCACTATGCGTGGTTCGGTGGCTTCTACAGACCAAGCCGCAAGTGCAGATAATCTAGCAGCAAAGGTACTATTTTTTTATTCATTCGCACTGTGTGCATACATTTGTTCAATTAAAACGACATGCGCGCACTTAGCATTTTGTTTTGAAATACGTAGCAATTTTATAATATATTTTTAAATATATTTTAATAACTTTATATATTAAAAATATATATTAGAAATATATTAAAATGCATCATAATATCTTAAAAACTTATTTGTCTAAATATAAACTTATTTGTTTTAATTACACGCAGCAAGCCGCCGAATCGATAGCCGAGAGTATGTTATCAGTGGCACGTGCTGAAGCGGTGGTTGCTGTGACTGGTGAGAGTGGAGCAAATTCAACAAGTGAACTTTCGGTTGTATTACATCCCAGACCTGACACAACTGTTACTAGTGATCTGGCTACTATTGTCGAGAGTCTCACTCTTAATACAGATTGCCCAGTTAACAGTACTAGCAATCGAGCATCTAGCTCAAAATCACTTTTCGCTTCTGTAAGAGGAAACAAAGTAAGTCATTGAAAAAGAAAAAACTTATCTAAAAAAACAATAAAAGTTTTTTTTATTTTCTATTATTAACTTCTTTTACGTATCATCAAATGTAACATAGACCAGCGGAGGCTTGCTGAGTTTAGAAACTGCTGAGGTTTTGGATCGTATGAGAGAAGGCGCTGATAGATTACGGAACAATACTAACAGTTTTCTCAGTGGTGAATTACTTGGATTAGTTCCTGTTAGAATCAGCGTTTCTGGCGAGTCGGATGAAAATTCACTAAGGATTAAGTCAGTGCCGAGACACCATCCCACTGGCATTGCAGATGGTACGTATCGATAAAAAATCTTTCAGTATACTTTTGAACATATTAATTTAACGTTTTTTATACGAAGCTAATATTTTTTTAGTCAAACATATCGTCATTATTATATAGGGGAAGTAATATACAAAATGTGAAGTAAAATTTGTAAAATGTAAACGCGCACAAACACACACACACACACACACACACATACAATATAGAGAGGGAAAGAAGAAAAAAGTAAAAAAAAACATTAATTAGATATATTCATTTTTTTTTTTTTTTTTTTTTTTGTCAAAAATGCTTCTCATATAAAAACTCCCCAGCAACGACGATATGTCAAATTAATCGTTCATAATTACATACTTCGCAAACCTTTCATATGTACAACCGCCTCTACTTGTGACCGAACATTGATTTCCTTTCCTCGTGTGCTCGTGCAATAGTATGTAAAAATTCTATACATTTCCTTCGAATTAGTTGCTAAAGACTGTACTCGAGAGAAAGAAGCTAGCTCATCTACACAAAATACAACGGGTGGTTGTCCTGTTGTGGTTACCAATCCCATGTCGGTATCTGTGCCTAATCTCGCTTGTTCCGATGCTAACAATACCTTGGAATCAACAGCTGCTACTGGTTTATTGGAAACCTTTGCTGCAATGGCGCGAAGACGAACGTTAGGTTAGTTTTAAATTAAATAATTACATATAACGATAGAGAGAGAGGAGAGAGAAAAAGATGGAAGGAGAGAAAAAAGAATATATTTTTAAATATACATACACATCCATATTTATGCAACAATATATATTTTTGCAATTTTCAGACTCAATTATGTATAAAAATATTTCTTCAATTTTACATTTAATTGCATTAATAACTAAGAGCGGTGATATTTCTTTTTGCGACACTTGTATCATATATAAAATTTTTTTAATATAAAAATTCAGCCTATGTTAAAAAAAATTTGTATTTTTTTGTACTAAGGACCGACGGGTGGACAACATCTTGCTTCAAATTCTAATACAAGTTCTAATCCACGAGGACCAAATTCCGTATCTAGTCTCGTAAGATTGGCACTCAGTCCTAACTTTCCTGGTGGATTACTTAGTACAGCCCAAAGTTACCCAAGCCTAACAAGTAGTGGACAAGTAGCTGGTAGTGGAGTCACTACGACGACTGGACCAGGTTTAGGACAAGCGCTTACTATGTCTCTGACTAGTACAAGTAGCGACAGCGAACAGGTAACGATACCGTTTATTTTCTTCTTGTCTTAATGCAATTAAATATTGTTTTTTTAATCATTAGTATGCCACCAAGACTTTTCAGCATGATTAAAAAATATTTATGGTTTTAGGTTAGTCTCGAAGATTTCTTGGAATCTTGCTCCGGAGGTGTGGTTCCTTCTGGTGCAGGCGGAGGTCGTACTACTGGTGGGCCTACACTTCTGACCGAATTAGAAGATGACGAAGATGGTGTTTTAGAAGAAGAGGAAGATAACGAAGAAAATGATCAAGAAGTACGTAGTATTTCATTATACAGTAGTGATCGCTTGTTGTCAGTGATTCTGTTTTTGACCGAGTTTATCGCATCTATAGGAAGAAGATGAGGAAAATGAAGAAGAAGGCGATGGTTGTGAAGGCGAATATGAAGAGGTAATGGTAAGTCGCAATCTTCTAGCAGCTTTTATGGAAGAAGAAGCACCACAAAGCAGCAAGAGACGCGCATGGGATGATGAATTTGTTCTAAAACGTCAGTTTTCTGCACTTATTCCTGCTTTTGATCCACGTCCCGGTCGGACAAATATTAATCAGGTAAGTAATGTATTATAAATTATGTGCATAAACTTTGTGTCGTCTTCTCTAATATTTTTTTTTTTTTTTTTTTTTATAATAGACAACGGATTTGGAGATTCCTCCGCCTGGCAGTGAAACGCAAATCAATAGTCGTGTAGGATCTTTACCTATGCCTAGACTTTCTTTATCATTAAAAGGTCCAGGATTTCCAGGCGTAGCAGATGTTGAAATACCACTTACAGATTCTCACTCAAGCATTTTTAAAGCAGTACAAGAACTGATGCAATTAACTGAATTAGGCAGTCGTCAGGAAAAATTAAAAAGGATATGGGAACCGACCTACACGTAATTATTTAATTAATCATATTTTATTCCAAAAAAAAAAAAAAACAAATATATTTATTTTGCTTTTCTATTCATACAGAATCATATATAAGGAAGCCAAGGACGAGGAGTCATCCGGCCGAGCAACGCCAATTGTAACATTATACTCTCGTAATCCTACACAAAATGCAAATGCATGCACCGTGGAAGATGTTCTTCAACTTTTAAGATATGTATTTGTCTTGGGCACTATTCGAGATGACGGTGCTTCATTAGAGCAAGAAGAATCGAATGACGCAACTTTCTGGCTTCCGGATGACTTTACATCCAAGAAAATCACAAATAAGATCGTGCAACAAATTCAAGATCCGTTAGCTTTAGCCGCTGGTGCATTGCCCAGTTGGTGCGAAGAACTTGCGCGAAGCTGTCCATTTTTGTTGCCTTTTGAAACTAGGCGACTCTATTTCAGTTGCACTGCTTTTGGTGCTTCACGGTCTATTGTATGGTTACAAACGCAACGAGATGCTATTCTTGAAAGACAAAGAGCACCAGGTTTAAGTCCACGACGTGACGACAGTCACGAATTTCGTGTTGGCAGACTTAAACATGAAAGAGTCAGTGTACCGAGAGGAGAAAAATTACTAGATTGGGCAGAACAAGTTTTAAAGGTAACAATCATATTTTTAACATCTCAATTTGATTCCACTGTCTACAAATGTGTACATATGGATAATTTTCATTACCTTTTTTGTTTTTTTTATAGGTACATGCAAGTCGCAAGAGTATACTCGAGGTTGCTTTCGTAGGAGAAGAAGGTACCGGTCTCGGACCTACTTTAGAATTCTTTGCATTAGTCGCAGCAGAATTGCAACGTAAAGACTTGGGTCTTTGGTTATGCGATGACGCTAATGACAACGATGGCACGCAGATCTCAAGCGAAGACCAATCCTATACTTCCGGAGAAAAGATTAGACCTGCGGGATATTACGTTATGAGACCGAGCGGTTTGTTCCCGGCCCCATTGCCGCAAGAGTCAGCAGCTTGCGATCGCGCTGTTCGGTATTTCTGGTTCCTAGGAGTATTTTTGGCAAAAGTTCTTCAGGATAATAGATTAGTAGATCTACCGTTATCCCGTCCATTCTTAAAATTAATGTGTCATGGTGATATTTCGAACAATGTCAACGAAAAAATTGGTCTTAGCGGCGTTACGCAAGACAGTATATCATCCAGCATGACGAGCAGCTTTATATCAGAAGAAGGAGAAAGCAACGCTCTATACTCGTCGTTAGAACCTTGCCCGTGGTACGCTGGTTTACTAGATATAGAAGATCTTGTCGAGGTAGATCCTGTGAGAGGAGAATTTCTCAAAGAAATACAAAATGCTATTACTAAACGCGACAGAACTTTCTCCGACGGTTCAAGTTCCGCTGAAAAAGAAATGTCATTATACATCACTCATTCATCAGGCACTTCAGTGGCTATTGAAGATTTAGCTTTAACCATGACATATTCACCAAGTTCGAAAGTTTTTCAACATGATCAGGTGGAATTAATAGAAAACGGCTCGGACATAACAGTGACCGCGGAAAATGCAAGAGAATACACTAGTCTTACGATTAATTACTGCCTTAATCAGGGAATTCATAGACAACTCGAAGCGTTCAAGTCAGGCTTTTCAAAAGTCTTTCCGATGGAAAAACTCCATGTTTTTAGTCCCGAGGAAATGAGAGCAATGCTTTGTGGAGAGCAGAATCCGCAATGGACCAGAGAAGATTTGCTTAGTTATACCGAGCCAAAACTAGGATATACAAAAGAAAGGTAAGTATTATTTTTAATGAAATAAACTTATAAAATTTATTATCAAATCAACACACATTGTTGTGTTACAAGTAATACTGTTTCAATACACTTATTACGATGTAATATTAGACAACGTTGAGACAAAATGCATTTATTTATTACATACGTTCTTTTCAGTCCCGGCTTTCAGAGATTTGTCAACGTGCTACTATCATTGACTGGTCCCGAAAGGAAAGCATTCTTACAATTTGCCACGGGTTGCTCGGCCCTACCTCCGGGCGGTTTGTGTAATTTACATCCCAGATTGACTGTTGTACGGAAAGTGGACGCTGGATCGGGTGGTTATCCTTCTGTTAATACTTGTGTTCATTACTTAAAATTACCAGAATATCCTACCGAGGAGATGCTAAAGGAAAAACTCTTGGCTGCAACTCGAGAAAGAGGATTTCACTTGAATTAAATTTTTTCTCTAAGAATTCTGATATTTAAGTTATTGTAGAGATATGTGGGAAAAAAAATTACATTTAACGGGTTGATATCATGTATATGTGTATATGTAGGAAAAATATGGCCTTTATTATAATTTAATTGTTTTTTTTTCTTTTTTGTTTTTGAGCACGATTACTACAAATAGAAAGCAATTTGGTGACTTTCGGAACGAAACTATCTCAGCAGAAATATATCTATACGATAATACTGAACATGAACTCTTTTTTCTTTTTTACATCACTACAAAAGTTTTGTTTTTAAATTTTTTTAGATGTACAATAGTTCCGCATGTTTCCGAATTCTTTTTATTAGAATAACATCGAAGTGTATTATACATTTCAGCAAATTCGTGATCACTAAACGAACCTGTCGTCCAATACTTTCAGCTCTCTTAAAAGTCACATTAGTTTTCTCTGTGTATATTGACTCTTTGTAATATTTCATATATACATATATAATTAAATAGATAGGACAAAAATGATACGTACATTTATATCTAATGTAGTTTCCTGAATATTAGTTACTCCTCATTCTCTACTTTCCTCTGAATATTTGTGTTGAGAGAATTTATGCCAAACACATATCTTAATTGTTTAATCGTACTTTTGACGGATGTGATTATTATTTCTTGTGCATTGGAAGCGTCAAACAAGTTTGTTTAAAACATATATACTTGCATGTGTTTGAGCGCGCATGTGTGTGTGTAAAGAGAAGGAGACAAGATACGTGTGTACATACGTGCGCGCGCGCCTATCTGTATGTGTAAAATCCTATTTTTGCAAGTGTATTTCACTTATATTTAACATTTTCGTGAGAAACAAAAATTCGAAAAAGTTCCTTGCTATTGAACATAAATGTTCATATTTACTTATTTGGAAGTATTTATTATTGTATTTTATAAAAGTCTGCGAAAAAAATACGGTAAAAACTCATGACAATTTTTATTTCGTTTATTACAGAAAAACACTTAGATCTTATAAACAAATATTGTGCTACAAGAGTATATATATGTGCGCGCTATAATATAAATCAAAAAGTAACACATTTGAAAGATATTAACTTTTTTATTAAAAATATAAGATGAATATGGTGTAGCACATACACATCTACACCAAAATGTCCATATAGCTTTTGAATATTTGCCCTTTTCACTTGAAACTATATGTAACTGTTTATCTTCTACTATATAAAAAAAAAAAAAAAACAATTATCTCTAAATTGAGTGATTAAGAGTTGGGAGATATTTTATTGCGAGCGTTACCACAATAAACTCAGCAGTATACATGTATATATCTGCTGCTTAATTAACATGCTTACACGATAACTATATAATAGAAAAACACTAAAGACAATTGTAATAATAGTTTTCTAGACGGTAAGATGTAAAGATAACATATATATATGAGACAAGATTGAATAAAGATTATATATAAAGATTGATATTAACAGATATTTAAGGGTATATTAAAAAAAGAGAGAGATTATCTCTAATAGACAAAAATATTTACTCTGTAACATATACATATAAATTATTCTTCTGAAAGAAATGAAATAAAAACGAAAATATATGTATAAGTACTGTATAAAGTATGTATATAATATATTCCCGCTAAAACATAATATACCTTTTTCGTTGAACAAAAGTTTTATAAAGCACGCATCACACACAGAAAAAGTTTCGTGCACTTTATTCAGGATGGAAAGCAAGAAAGAGAGAGACAGAAAGAAAATATATCTCATATATATTTTTTAAAGAGAGAGGAAACGGAACGGAAGATCTTATTGCGCGCATGCGCGTTACGCCTCAAATTTTACCGCATCAAAGATGCCGACAGAGAGTTGTTCTAGTGTGTGTGTGTGTGCCACACATCTAGTATAACTGATATATTTATGTATATACTATACTTTATCACATGCGACAAAACAATCAGCAATTAGATGGCAATGTGACTCATGTTTTTGAATATGCGTAAACCGGACTTGCTCAGATAAGCAAGTTTTTCGATAAACCGTGAACACCGGGCAACTGAATTGTAATACAAACTAGATTACTTTTTCGCGCATACGCGACTGTGCCGTGACACATCGCAACAGTGTGTTCCTACACACCTGGCGCTGCTCAGGAAAACGTCAAGTACGCGGCCGAAATGTCGAGGAACGACGGCAAGAAGGACACCTCGGCGTCCGCGTTCCGGAAAATTGACGTAGACCAATATAGCGACAACAATTTCAAAGAGGAGGACGCCGACGGTGGCGTAGGCGCGCCCACCGGCCCGGACGAGAACGAGATTTTGACACTTCTTAGCCAATATCCTTTGCTGAACACTTTTTTGTATTTTGTAGAATCTTTATTTACTTATCGTGTTTTTCGATGTATTTTATTTTCCTTAGCACTTTATCACGGGTAAGAACGCAGAAGCACTGATATCAGTATTAAAATCCGCTCCGCTAGAGTGTAAAAACCAACAAATCAAGGTAACCTCAAAGCGTTTATTTGGCATGTGACAAGTTTTTTTGTACAAATGTGAAACAATCTCATGTTTGTTTGGAATTAATGGATATAATTGCTTGTATTTAACGCGCTGTTTTAAGACATTATTTTGCAGTGATATAGATGTATTCGATTGAATATAAGTTCTTGTGGCTCATACGTGTGTAGAATATCTAATTTTGTTCTCTTTATTTACAGGACAGTGCACGAAATCTAACACTGAAGGTGCTTCTGAGTATAAAGTCAAATCAAATGGACGATTGCTTAGCACAATTAGATCGTGATTTAGTGGATGTTTTAATGAAATACATTTATCGTGGTTTTGAGATACCAACGGAGAATAGCAGTAGTCATTTGTTGGTCTGGCATGAGAAAGTATTTAACGTAAGCGGTGTTGGTTGCATTGTTCGTGTATTCTCCGATAGCAAACGGGCTTGAAAGTTTACGATAACAGATTCAGTATGATAATTATCATTAATTCACACTGTTATTCATTGGCATTGTTAATGCAATGGGGAAGTAGATAGGCGAGCCATTCACAAATTTCCATATGAGAAATACAACAAATTTGTGTACATTTGTTATCAATAAAGTAATTTTTATTTCTTGTACATCTCTGTGGAGAAATAATTCCTTACATCTCTTTCACATAAATGTCTCTAAAGAATATAGAAACACTAAACAATCAATATTTTTTAGTATGTTATTCAATATGTTAAAAAAAAAGAAAGAAAAATTCGTGAGTTTTCATATGATTTTTATATAACAATAACTCATCAGATAAAACCACAATGAAGTATTATTTCTACTTTGCCCTTTATACAATCTAACAAAAATTTATATTTATCAGAGGTAAAAAGTAAAAAGATATCGTACCACTATCACATGTTTTACGTAACAATTTCAAGTTGCCGAGACTAAGAAACTACTGTTTTTGCATTAGAACTACCTGGTTTTCTTTTTTTTTTGTTTTTTCCGAGATCTTTCTCGAATTATTGAAGGCCCGATTCAGTTTGTTTTTCAACTCAATTGAAAAGGACCGGCTCGGAAAAAATCCTAAAGCGTTGAGGTGAATTTGATTTCGGAACCTCCATATTCGCAACTTCCGCATTCAGGCTGCGAGACCAATGAGCCGGTTGTACTTTGTAAGTTGAGAATTGACTAATCCAGTCTATACAATATAAACAAACTTATAAGTTAGCACAAAATAAAAGTATAAATAATTTGGAATATAGCAACAAGTTTTATTTTATATGTTTATACATACATACATACATACATATATATATATATATATATATATATATAAAATTATTTATATATATATATATATACATGTATATGTATATATATTTATACAACAAACTATAGTGCAATTAGTTAACACGCGGAAACGTAATAAAGTTAAAATTTCCTATATTAATTTATTAAGGGATATTTATAAGTTTTGTCATTTATATAATAGAAGATAAGACATTTATAGAATGTGTTATACAAGGTGTAAGATTTATGGATAATCCGCTGTTTTGTGATACTATCACACAATGTCCTCTCGATCTTTTTCCTCTCCCCTCCACCATATTATCTTTTTATCTTCTCTCTTTTTTTCAGTATTTGAACAGTTATTTATTCACATTTGTCCTTTACTGTAAGCATAATCATATTTGTTTGATGTATCAGGTACAGTGCACTTATAAATACTGCGTTTGCTCTGCAAAAAGTACAATTTATATTAGAAAATAATGCAAGAAATTGTGTATACAAAAAGAATAACACGTAGAGGTAAAAATTTAATTTTACACAAATTATCCAACGATTTAGATTAAATAAAATAGCTATCAAAGGTTGTTTTGTGGCAAAAAAACATTTATATTGTGAGATCTAATGTGTATTTTTAAAATAATGATCGATTTAATTTAGGATTACACTGATTCTCTTGTACTTACTGTCCTTCCTTGAAGTATTCCTTCAACGTATTGCTAAATCTCTTACTATATTTCACAAATTCTCTTTTGCGTTGATCTAAGGCTTGTTTACCAGCTAAACCAGGTATAAATCCAGTAACCTCATTTACAGCATCTAAGAGCTTCTTTATAGCACTTGCAATTTCTCTGAAAGAAACACATCGTGTCATACACGTGATCACTGATATGAACAGAGCTTTTCTGATTATCAGATATATAAATATTATACACACTTGATTGTCTCAAGAAAAGTCTTCCTATCTGTTATCTCATCGGGAATTCTGCTAAGTATTCTTTTCAAGGAGGTTGATTTACGATTCAGTTCTTGAAATGCATCTTCCGAACGTGCTGAACGATATTCCACAACTGCAATCAAAGAGATAAAAAAAATCTCCTTATATTTACATCTTAAGAAAAAAAAAAAAAGAATATACGTAATAAGATACATATAAAAATTGCTGTAATATATCTATTAGTATAACATGAAATAATTGCAATTTCCATACACGTGTACGCTTTAGTTTTACCATCATAATCAGAAGCGACGCCTTGCAATCGCAAGACACTCTCATTCATGTCGAGATTGAGTTCTGCTCTACGTATTATACCCATAATTAAATCATATGTAATTCCAGGATGCGAACTCTCCGCTTTTGTGAGAGCTGCGCGCAAAGTTTGAGCTGCCATGACATTTTGCCTCTCGAGCTGCAAAATAAAATTCAACATCGAACAATTAAGACTTAAGGCTCGTTGAAAAAAAAAAAAAAAAAAAAATTCAACAGTTGTTTATTTACAGTTGAATTTTAACTGTTAAAATTCAACATGTTACACCCAGAACAGAGATACGTCAATCTTTCTTATATCTTGAATTGCTTTCTGTGCGTAACATAATAATACCTTTGTTAATATTGGTCTTAATATGACAGGAAGAACCAATGATGTAACCGGAGTCTCATCGCCCATTGTCATCCTTTACGGTGTGTGGTATAGTTCACGACGCTAAAAATATGTTTAAGCGAATGAGCACGCGAAGTCGGGATGTCTTCGTGACTTAACTTTGCGCGACAACAGATTTGTTTATATGCGATGTGCACATACGAGTCAGATTCAGCTCGGTAGTATCAATAATTATGACAGCTGTCGCAGGTGCGGCACGCGAAAACGAGGTTACTCAGTGTTGCCAATATATTCGTCGAGAAACACGAGGTCTGTTCTTTTTCCATACTTTGGCTGCGCCAGTTCACAGTCTATCTTTTTCCTTTTAATATAGATTAAAAAAAAGATAGACTGTGAACTGGCGCAGCCAAAGTATGGAAAAAGAACGGACCTATGTATACGAACCAATCCGGTAAATAAAAATGCCTATCTCTTACCGATTGATTGGTTGTGTTCGGTAAGACTCAGCTCTTGGCAACGCTCTTTGCGCTTGTTATTTATGATTGGCTTTTTCCTGTAAATCTATTGCAAATACGAAAGTACACGCCAATGACAAGCAATAATCGCAAAGCGCTTGCTCAGAGCTATGAATTCTATCTGAACGCAACCATTTGGTTTTATTTCTCGCACATCGACTCGATATTTTGATTCTCGAAATATCGCGCGCTTCGATATATATTCGGATTGGCGGGCACAGTCTTGGCGGACACGCGACACGAGGTAGAACTACGTTCCGTATTTCTTACAATCAATTATTGTTGTTTCGCGTACAAAGTATCAGCCACACACGCGTGTGTCGCAAAGTATCGGGCGTTATGCATTGATACGTAATTAGCATCGTGCCGGTAATGGGCAAGCCTTTTGCGGTGAAATCGTTTTCGCTGACCGTTTGCGCTTTCGTGAAGCGCGCGCGACAAACAAGATGGTAAAAGAAATTCTTCAAAAGAAGAACTTTGTTCAAATTATTCCGTATTTTTCGCGATTATTGTCGTCTCATGCGTGCAAATACGCGTGTGCGTTGTAAAGTACCAAGTGTTCGCAGTGATATATTAGCATCGCGCATTTGTAAGACTTTTAAGAGAATTTTGACCTGTGATTGATTGATTTACTTACTGCTTAAGAGTGTTGTGTTATGGCTTTAAGAGGCTTTATGAAAACAAGGAAAAAACGAGAACAGGTGATGAAGGAAAAAGAATCTTTATCTTGTAAGTTTTTTAATTTTATTTTTATTTTTAAATATTGTGTTCCTTTGTGTGTATGTGTGTGTGTGTGTGTGTGTATGTGTAAAAGTATAGAAACAATAGAATATTTTTTAATTATAAAACTTATACAACGTATAATATTATATATTACATATAGATGATATAATATAATATTATATATTATAATTTTTATAATTAAATATATAATTATAAAAATCACAGTAAGATGTTTCGTGAAAACTAAAATAGAGTCTTACAAAAAGTTGAATATTGCCGGTTACGTAGCGCGAATGATGTACATACATTTTCAAATGTGGTTAAAAAAAAAGATATTAACGTATAAAGTTGATTGATGTAAAGAATTTTTAATTTTTACATGAAGAAAGAAAGAGAAAAAATATATATAAAAGTAAATATATAAATATATATAAAAATAAGTATCAATAACGCCATTTCGTGAGTCTTATAGATAATGAGTCAGTCGCAATATAGACAGTGATTGTAAATGCCTTTATGAGAAGTTTACATGAGAAATTATAACTTTTTATTGTTAAAAAATTATCGAGGCATTATTGATACAACTTCGTATATAAAGGCATTTACTTACAGTACATTTTCAATAATTGCGAATCGTAAATACAGTCAAGTATAATTATAACAGTATAACAATAATTATAACAATATGAAAAATTGTCGAATTATTCGCCTTACAAAAATAACATACCGTGAAAAATAAGATTGCTATATAATCTATTTTCTATATTGTTTCTTATTTACTTACGCAATATCTAGATATGATTATTTATTTTATTACGCAAGTCATAGTATTTATAATGTTTTTTTTTACAATTATAACTAACGTTAATCTAAATATAGATACAAGACAACTATTTATTCAGATTTCGCTTAAAGCGAGAAACTTTTTAACGCGTAGTCTATTACAAAATATTGGTTTCGTTTGTAACATATTCTCTTAAAGAAATTTTATTTTTATATTCTAATCATACGTATAATAATTATTATATCTTTACTAATAATTGACTTCGTATTGAACATTACATTACTTCCATTCTGTTTTATATACTATGAATATTTAGAATAACTGTCCCAACAATGAATTACGTTTATCTCAAATTTGTTTTATTACACAAAAAATCATAAAATTTAACGTAACTGAAACAAATTAAAAACTGTATTTTACTGTTTAAGAGTATATTTTATAACTGAGTAAATTTTTAAGGACAAGATTTATTATTGAAACAGTTATATCTATTCTGTCTGCATGTCGCACGTTTTTATTTGAAAGACTAACTTGGAAGATATATATGTATTGCCATAAATATTGCATATAGTAGAATTTTCTGTTTATACTCTGATAACGAAGCTCTTTCTACGAACACAAGGCATAACACAAACACGTAACACGCTTAGCGTTTACATTTATCGTATTATGTTTCAAGTATAAAAGTCACTCTTTATAAATTTAAAATTTCTTTAATTTCAAGTTCTTTTATTATTACAAATGTACAATAAAATCTCACTTAACATAACAGAGTTTCAATTGCGCGCGTCTCACATTAACATTTGGTATAAAAAGTATTATATAAAAAGTGCTGTTTATTTTTTGTTATTAATATGGAAGTGTCAGACACAGTTTTACATATTCCAAATAATCAAGTACTGTACAAAAGATACAACTTCACAGAAAAAATTATATGATTTGATCAAATTTTTTTTTCTATTTGATTTTTTTTCCACTCGAGGATTTGTTATTAAACAAAACTTAATATCTTACAATTGTTTCGCATGAATTATTATATTTACAGCGCTTTTGCGCGTGGTTATATTTGTTAAAGTCATATGTGTCAAGAGCATATTCTGACGAAAAAAAAAAACAAAATCGCGCAGAAACTTTGTCGTAATTGCAAAGAGTAATAATATTTAATTCGTGCGCGATTGATTGCTCGCGATTCGTTTATTCGCATCAAGAGCCACGATTGTTTATCCTCTCTGCTCTTATCGTGAATATTGTCTCGCGAAACGAGTATACCCGCTCGTATTATTATCTCAAATTATATTTTCACGGCCTTGTTCTCAGAAAGACGTCTTCTTCTCGTGTGGTACAGTCGATTTATAATCTACACTGTAATCGTCCCTAATTGACACAGAGTCGGTAAGCGATTGGAGCCAATCGCATGTGGCGTGGAAATTCTCATGGTTCTCATCTATATCACGTGTAAGTTCTCACAATTTGCTTATAATGGTATATACGTACTAACGCAACTCGTTACTAATAATAATAACAGTAATAATAATAATAAACGACTCGTCGACGATACTGTCTCAAAAAAAATTTAACACGAAGAACTCGATAGACTTACAATTAGCTCTGGAAGCAAATATCTTAATTAGTGCATTTAATAAAAATCTTCTCGACGAACATACTTCTTTATGTATTCTATCTGATCTTAACATCTGAATCTCGATTGTTCCATCTCGAGTGGCAGTGATTGACTGAATCGTTTATTTCACTTATTTGTTAGAGTACGATATCAATAGTCGGAGGGGCCAATGTTATACTTGACATTGCGTGAGGTTTCAACTACTTCTCGTAAGACTTCTTCCGGCAGTTCATCACGCAAACATTATTTTGCACGCGCGATTGTCGATCGCTGGTTTGATTCGCCTTGATCCTTGGCGAGAGACCGAGTTTCTTGTTTTTTTATTATTATTTTTTTTTATTTTTCTTGTTTTTCTACGCCGGCGCGCCCTGCGCAACCGGTCTGTGAATCGGCACCGAGATCACGTACACATCTACTTTCTCGCCCGACGTCTTGTCCACGATTTGGCCGTAATTGACGGAATCGTAAGAAGGCGGTGCAAATAAGTGATAAGGTGGCGGCGGGGTTTCCGCGACTCCGGGCGTTCTCACCGTACCTTCGGCACGCTGTGCGTAAGGTACTGTCAGGGATCGGCCGTTTCGCCGACAACACCACTCGGAACAGCTGACAATCAGGAAGAACGCCACCAAAGCGCCGAACGAGCCGATATACCAGACTATCGACCATGGATCTAACGGATGATTGTGCTCACTCTTGACTACAAGAAAATGACAATTTGCTTTTAGTGAAAAGTAATGATTTCTTTTTTTTTTTGTAATATAAAAATTCACTCTCATCGAGATTTAATGAATTAACGCTGTATCATAAAAACAGTTAGAAAATGTGGGTCAAGGAACGTACACTTGCACAAATTTAAACTTATTTAAACTTTAAATCATATTTAAAGTTGTAATACATTTTGAATTTTTCATTTTTATTTTTGAATTTTTGATGCACAATGACAGCACATATAAATATTCAATAAAATATCGAAGAGAGTTTTGTTTGATACAAAAAACCTCACAGTACACACATCAAAAAACAAACACATTCATAAAGAGAACATATCGAAAATATGTATACACATCGGAAAAATATTGTTATGTCATCAAATGATGCGTGAATAGAATTTTGAATTCACGAATGATAACAGAAAATACGCGAACGATGACACAGATATATGATGTTGTTGCGTTGTGAGTCTATTTTACACTTGATCGCGTGATATGCAAAAAAATAATTGACGTTTCTTACTGGTTTCTCTCGTGTCTTTTTCATTCTCTGAACTTTCGTCCATCTCGTCTTCTTCGTTATAGCTGATTACGTAGACTGTTTCTTCGTTGTCATCGGACTTCAAGTTACTCAATTGTGAATGATGATCGCCGTTTGCATTCTGGATCACTTTATTGCTCTCCATTCGCCTCTCAGTACCGATGCTGTAACTCGATACCGCAAGAGCTACGATAAATTGTAATCTATTAATTAGCCGTCATTACAGCAATATGTATTGCATGAAATTAATCATTGTAATTATGTATAAAATTATATATATATATATATATATAATGTATGTATCTTTATGTCATTTATATTTCGCGTGTGTATGCACTTGTGAAGCGATGTAATAACGAATGAAAATTCTTCGCGAGTCTTATACGTGATATAAATACTTAAAAGGCAAGATGTGCTTGATAATGGAATTTTGAATTCTATCAGTTTGTTTGCGAGTTAACAGTACGACGTTTACAATGTGCCTTACGCATCGCATGCGCATACGACAAGTGGTATCATTAGCATCGTATGATATTATGCGACAGGCGTCAGGTTTACGTAACGTCTTTCTTGGGCGCGATCAAGTCACGTTCCAACGATCGGTCCGAATGTATTTGAGCACACAGTGCTATATTCGAAATGTTAAATTTTTCGACCGCGACCAATAACCGATGAAACTCACAAGGTTGCGCACTTGCGCAGTACAACGGTATAATATTCCGGATATACACACACACACACGTACACATAGATATATACACACGTGGTTATATTATGTGCGCTTATTCATGTATGGCAATCATATGTATACACACGTAATATATATAAAACATAATAAATTAATTCAATAATAAAATACTTGCAACATTGCTTGGAAAAAGAAAGCGATAGATCGGCATTGTAACGGAACGATTTTTGATCGTCGTGATAAAAATTATTATTTCCAAGCCCAAAAGCGGAATCTTCCGCATTTCTTTCGTGAAATTAAACGTGGTGTGAACGATCTCCCGATACGGTAAATCAATCTAAAGAGTCAACTAAAGATACGTTATTATCGCCGTGTCTTTTTTTTTTTGTGTATAACTGTCTTTGATGTGAGGATTGTGTTATCATATTATTTGGTATTTGTTCATAATTAGAGATGATTGTTTCGATTAATTTAAATTTGTATGCGCTTATTAAAAATAAAGATTTATCAACTGAAAGTAATCGGTGATAAAGCAGTGAAACAAGTTGCAATTAGCGCTACTATTGAGTAAGATAATTGAATTATTTTGTTTTCTAAAAAAATATTTAAAGAATGCCGCGAATGTCTTTTAAAAAAACTTTACTGTAATCTACGTATGCGTGTGTATGTGCGTGCGCGCAAGATTATAACATTAAAAAATAGAGTATAAAATTAAAAAAAAAATGTTTATCTGCCAAAATGCGTCTATTTAAATTTGCAAAAAATTTTTCTCTCTCTCTTTCTCTTTCTCTCTTGATCAGACCAAAAGTTGATCTAGCAATATTTCAAAGTCAAGTATAAGATCGTGACATCCGAGCGGCGCATAAGCAAATATGAAGCTGCATCAAAATACAGCTTTAAATAATATGATAATTATAATCAAATTAAAAAAGAATAAAAAGAGAGAGAGATGATCTTAGCTTTGGAATTAGCACTAATTGCATAATGCTGAAATAATAAAAATATTTGGTCACAATTTGAACGAGAAAAATTATACGCAAAAAAGTTTTGTTTGAGAAACAATCTATTTTTTATCTATAACAATAAATAATAATTTATCAGTTTATTTTCTATATTTAACAATAAATAATAATCTACAGGCACACATATGTTAATTTTAAATCGCTCGATAACTTCAGGATGAACTTTGTCTTGGGAAGGAAGCAGCGAGAACATTTGAATTTTCACGTCTGTTTCAACATGGGAAGGTTTCATCAGGCATAATTATATGCTAAGAACGTGCAAAATCTATTCGGAACTACAGATACAACGGTTCTGCTCGCTCTCGTACATAATTCTATATTTAGCAAGCGTTCATGTGTCTTATATATCCGTTACCTGACATTGGAGTGTTTGAGGTATCGAAAACGCTACTTCATTGATATTTGTTCAAATGGTATTGGATTATTACAATGTTGTCTTGTCGATAAAGCTAAACGGGATCTTGTAGCTTCTCGACATACTTCGTTTCAAATTAAATTTTTTCTTGTTTTTACGAAGAAAGATTTGTTTTCCGAGTCACAAACGTGCTCACAACTTTGTAGAAGATAATGAATTTTTTACTTTGCGTAACAGGATTTTTTAATTACATTGGATGTGAAAAATATACACGGGGCGGAGTCAAGCTCTGTCTGTGTACAGTATATATCTTCGATATATACTGTATAATTATTGATTATTTGAAGTGTTTTTTGTGTAAACAAGAAAACACAGACAAATAAGTTATTAGACGATATCAGTGAGTGATCGATACTGGTACAATTGTTTTGGAAATAAAATGAGAGTTTGTCTCGTCTCGGAGAACAAATTATTAAATGTGAATTGTCGTTAAACGCGCGAAAGCGCTCGCAATTAAATCTGTCAATTCACACAGTATGTAAAAATCCACGCGACAATGCAATGCAATCTCTGATTTAATTATACGAGCGCCGCGCGTGTTCTTTCGAAAACACCAAGAATCATTAATTGACATTTATATTATATTGGTATTTCTTGTGGGAAAAAAATTGCGCACGAAAATCAAAACGTTGATTCACGGAAGAATGACACGTAGAGCACTTTCGTTTATACAGCGATTCATTAAATCGTCATTTCTAATAGGAGGTCGCCTTAATATATATAAAGATAGTTTGAAAAGTCGAGATTTGACGTCAGATAGACTTAAATTAATATTAGAATTAAATTGAAAAGAGATAAAAAAAAAAAAGACAAAAAGAAAGATGAGACAGAGAAAGAGAGAGAGAGAGAGGAAGAACAAGAGGAAGTAAAATCTCCGAAATCTTATAACGTATCGATTACACCTTGCTTTGAATAAAATAATATTGTCTATATTCGGAACTGTGTGAAAATCGATCGAAACATGGTTCAACTTAGACACCTCTTTAAGCGTGCTGATAAAACCTTTCTGTGTTTTACTATTTTCTTTCTTATCTCTTAGATGTTTTGACACATGCAATACACACGACACATACACATTGACACAAAATATACTATGAGATCATTTCTTCTCGTAGTTCGCAACGTAACACACACCATAATTCAAACGTAATCTACGAACGTAATCTCGAAACGGAAATAACAGCAAACGTGTGATTTGAAATAATTTAAGCAAGTTCCATTTTCAGGTCTTCTGAGATGTATTCCGTCGTGATCAATACACTTCATCGGATCATGTCTTATCGCCGCTTTATTGAAAGTGATCTGTGTCATCAATTGTTTGAAACTGTTTACGTACGTAGAAAATTTTATAGAAACGAAAAACAGAGAGAATTGTGAGACACGTTATCAGTTTTTTTTTTTTAAATTCTCTGTTGTATGTTACGTGAAGAAACTCGCTACATTCGTTGAAGTATAAAGTACCAAAGCGGAAACTCCTACCTGGCATCGGCTCGACGAGAAAGGCTTCGTTCTTCGTCACAAAGAACGAAGCGAAAACAAAGACGAATACGATCATCCCGGATCGAAATGAACACTGAATACCGATCTATTCTGTCCGATCAGCTTGCTAAACTGTCTCGCCGACGCGTGCACTAACGCACGACGTTCACGTGGCGCGGACGCGGTTTCCACACATAAGTGCAACTAGGAGGAAGACGATGTTTTTCTCGCGCGCCGTACACGTGACAAATTAATCGAAAAGAAGAGACCGTCTTTCTCTTCGTCGAGCGAACACGTTGCGCTCTCGTCCTTGTTCGAGACAAGACTCTCTCGCGTTGCGCGCACGAACGAGACTCTCGGCTTCACCGACTTCTCCGACCGGTTAGCCAGCAGTGAACTGCTCGTGTTCCTGCCTGGGGGTATCGTATACATAAAGTCGCCAGATAAGCCACGACTGACACCCCCCCACAGACGCGCTTCGTCGCGGGACGGCCCATTTCTGCTCGTTCTCTACTCCAGTGCGCGATTTTGCTGAAGAACTTGAAATTCAGGCCTCTCAACGTGACGTGCACAACCTGGTCCTCTCGTTCGTGGTTTCGCTTCTTCTTCCTCCTCTCTCCTCTCTCCTCCCTTCTTTCATCCAGGAACAATAAATGTCATGACACTTGCCCTCGTGACCGTGTGTAATTCTTTTAACGTTATGACACTACGCTCGTTATGACTTTCCCTATCATTAATTATAATAATAGTTAATTATGTTCTCTTTAAAATGAGCGATTAGGATAATTGTGTCTATAAATATTGTATAGAGCTTAATTAGAAATTAATGGCACACGGTTAATTTATGTCTGCAACCAAATCTCGTATTGCTAAATGACGACCAATAATTGACACAGTTTGTTCAATTCAAACTGAGAGAGAGAGAGCGAAGTTTTCGTCGATGCGTATACATACTACGCGTCGCGTCGTGTTCGGTAAAAACTCAAAAGAAAGGAAGGACAGTTTTACTCGGCTCTTTCATCATCGCGGTACAATGTGATTACAACATTCTTTTGCGTTTAACTTCAATGGGAAACTTCGCGCGCGTTCAGAACAAAGATATTACTTAATGAGTATTAAAAAAAAAAAGATAAATTTCTACAGCAGAGTCATTGATCGGCACAGATATCGCATATCTTGCCAGGAGAAGATGCGCATTTTCGCTTCAGTAAAGATGCATAACACACATATACATATACATAGTATGTACACACGTGAGAAACTGTATATAGTTTTCTTGATAAGATTCGGCCCGTGTTTCGTGCTCATATGCAACGTTCGAGAGGTAATGATTAATGTGAATCATATGATGTTCCTATCGATAAGGAACTCATCCAGTCACGATGATGCAAAGAAGTAATATCTGAGGAAACGATGAACAAAAAAAATATAATAAGACAGACTTGTAAGGAAAATCGTTGCGTCATATTTCCTTGTAAGGAATTTCCACACCAATTTTCTAAGTAACATCATAGCGCGTTAGACGCTACGCAAATCCGTGACGGTGAAGTTTGTGAGATTTTGATGCGCGCGCGCGCGCGACTGAATATTTTTACCATTATTGAAAGCCGATAATTCTCTCGCCAGCAACCATCCAATGGACCTGACAATTTTGTAACTTTCTAAAAACCAATGCGATCATTAATATACGTGACGTTCTTCCGCGTTTGTTATCTATCCACATGATAAGGTATTGCAAACAATTGTTCCTATTGCGACGTCCTTACAGTCGGAATAAATGTGCCACATGTTTGTATATCGGATACAATCTTATCTTATATTTTTCGGACTTTGTTGAGGTTACTGTCCTATATGCGAAGAACGAGACAGATGCAATAAGAATAAGTATACAGAACAATAACTTGCAAAATTATTAAATTATTTTTGAGGAAGAGAAGATGTACGAGACAATTTTTGAAATATGTATATGTTTATTTATACATATTATATATATATATATACATACATAAAAGAACCAGAAAGTCTGAAAATTATTTGTGACACTTTTCATACTTTGTATGTGACATACACGATTTGACAAAGAAGTTCTATATTTAGCAAACGACAAGTTAAATGAAAATAAATCACAATTCAAATCAGTCGTATCAATTGTAATTTTATTAATACTTTTTATAAGAGTTAAGGACACTTCAATTAGTCATTTGCAATTTTCGTCAAGTGTCAGATTTATATCCGAAAGATAATAATTTTTTTCTTTTGATAAACAAAAAAAACCAGATATTAAGTCATCAAACGAAATAACTCGACTTTGCGGTTGTGTAACTTGCGGAACTTTGATCTTTGACGAAGAAGAGTCATCATTTAAATTTTCGCTTTTCTACCGCGTGTCTCGCGTTCATCCGCCCGCAAATCCAAATGTCACCACACGCCGGCACAAATCACTGCTACTAAATTAGCATAATCTCCTCGTCTGCTTGTACATGCTAGTTGCGCTCGCGGGCGCTAATTCCTAGTCAAGTATTTCTATTACAAGTAAAGCCATGCGGAATTTAACATTTCGCACATCTTCTCGCGTACCCGAGAGAGAAGACCATTAATCTCGCCGCGCAAGTCGTTGTACACCGTATGAACGTACCGTATGTACGTTGTATAAATGTTATGAACAATGTGCTCGTATGTAATACACCAATACTGTATTTGTGGAATTTACAATAACACACGTGCGTCAAACAAAACAAATTATTTATGCGACTCCATGTGCATCCGATATCTTCGGTTTATGGCGTGAGCAGCACAACTTGTTGCTATTCCTGACGGACGACTAATGGATTGACGCGTATTTGCTTGTACGTATAAAATAAATACAGCATGAAGCATCGCTAAGATTGATTTTTTCCTAACAAGTCGTATAATTAATTCGTTACAAACAAATACAAATCCCGCGTTACGCATTTACGTTGCGCGTTGAGCCAAATAAATAAGAGCTAGAAAATAATAAAACAAAATATTTCTTATATATATATATGCGAAATAATGAGAAATATTTTTTGCATCTTTAAAATAGATACCTCTCGAAATGATTATCGAAAAATGTCTGACAATGAGCGATCGTGCGAGGAAAAAAAAAGAAAGATTTTTGAGATTACTTTTGAAAACCTTAATTTTTTTTTTTTTTTACAAGAGACTGAGATTTACAAAAAATACGGAAAGTTATACGGAATCGTATAACGGCTTGTGATCGACGTTTTCGCTCTGGCGATTTCTTTTTTTCTCCTTTCCTTTCATAATTCTTCACGCGGGGCATTACGCGAGTGTCACGCGTCGAGGCTAACTTATGTGATACTTGACACAGAGCTACTGGCGGTAACAAGCCACCTGGAACGAGACTAACGAGCATCTCACATTTCGTATGATGTATTCCCGCGGTGTTAACGCAAGTGAATGATGCGTCCACGACGGTACGATGACTCATCAGAATTTTTCATTGCGTATTACACGGTATATAGATAATTTCAGGTATAGAAAATTTCAGAAATTTCTCGATGTGACAGAGCGCCGCTATTAAAGCTCATCAGATGTAATTCGTATCGTCCGAAGAAAATTGTATTGACGTATGCAACGAGTAGTGATTGCGTATCAGCGGATTAATGTTACACACGTAAATGTGCGCGTTACGTAACGATTCATCGGCAAACAAAACGTGTACGCGAACAATTCTGTTAATTTGTTCTTATCCATACGTTTTATTTCCTGTTTTGCTAGTTTACGAACGCACACATGAGGATAAATAAAGAAGTTATGCACGTACGCGAAGTGTATTATAATACAAATGATGTTTTTAACTTGTGCATTATTAGAATATTACCGTCGTTTCGACGGTGTTTTTCTTCTTTTTGGGAAAATGACGCAAATATGTTCGAGGATCGAGACACACGAGGTTTGGATTATAACGATCTCGCGGTACTTGATCTTCTCGAATGCGCTTGGACGATTTGTGGAGGAAAGTTTATGTGCGGGAGCTTTGTATCACGGAGCTTCTTGTCACGTTTACATTTCGTGGTTTCCTTGTCGCGTCTCGACTTACGCTCGTCGGATCGCGCGCGCGTTTCTCAGTTCTCCGCATCCACTATTATCTTATGCTAATCCGAACACACTCGACATTTTCGCATTACGCAATCTAAATCTTGCGCGATGTATCGTGTATACTTTGTTGTCAATTTCCGACCGCCGAACATATCTTGTCGAACGATCACCACGCCACGTTGTCGCGACATATCGCACGTAAGAGATTTAAAAGATTTTCATATATATATATATATATATATATTATATCACGAGATTTTTTATCTTTTTATAGAGAGAAATATATTCTATAATATAATACATATATCTCTCACGCTTCAATTATCGGCACTATCGGCAGTATCGTTCGATCACGTCGATATCGCAATATTTGCGGTATAACATCTCACGTATCGTTCAATTGTTTCTGTCTCAACGGTGAAACACCGCGAGCGCGGTTTATACGCGCGATAAAGTATACTTATATACGCTGTTTTCCGTTTTGCGTGATCGTTAGGTGATGTTTATGAAATCAGCGTCTATCGTTGAGGTCGCGCATCGAGGACTATCTCGCCGTTAATTGCGAGGACATTAACATATATCGGCAGACGTTACGCGCCTCTTTTGGAATTCAGTTTTATTCGACTGCAATTTTATTTTATTTTTTTTTCTGTATCATATATTCCTGTGCATTATTTATCGGAAATTCTTATTAATTCCTTGTAGAAAAAAAATACTTAAGCTGTGCATCGGACATTAATTTACGATATTATATAATAGAGAATAATATTTATAGTCTGTACACAATGCAATTACAAAATTCGTTATCGGGTTTTGCGCGCAACTAAGAAAATCGATGACAAACGTGTGTGCAATCTGTGCGCGCGATTAACGTAACAAGAAAACAAAAATACTTATCAAAATTTTTATTCACTGATACGTAGAAATATCATAGAAAATAGAACGTTATTTATAATTCTGTGACTCAGCAGGACAAATAGATAGCTGAAGCGACGAAGAGAGGAAAGAAGTCTTCTAGTTGAAAAAGTGTCGATATTCTTTAAGTATTTGAAATGTCACTTTCCTTTATATTTTTAGCATCCAAGATACGATAAGTAGTAATGCAAACAGGAACCGGTTAATCCGGAAACTTCAAGCTGAACGATGCGCGATAAGACCTCTGATATCACACAACGATCATTCTTTTTCCGTATATACTTTTTGACATACGCTATTGTAAGATCTTTGCGATGTCAACATCGTTACGTCGCCACGATCGAAACTAAGTAATATGTATCTGTGTATAAATGTATATACATATGTATATATGTTATATATATATAACATATATACACACATGCATATATGCACACATGTCTATAACAGAGAAATTTTTTTATACGTTGTTAATATATAAACAACATTAAACCTTGATATGTTTACTCTGCACACGACTTCTTACTTCATCAGATATTTTACGCGCACTGTAATTATTTTTACTGGTGAACGTGCAAGTCGAAACGTATCGTACGACGTAAAAGTGTGTCCTTGCGGTATTCCGTAGAGTTGTATGCTTTTTGCTGGAAGAGGAGAGAACATATCGGTCCGATCACGCGCTACAAAAACGCATCAAATTCATTTGATATTCATTTGCAGAAAGTAAGAAATCGATAACCGAGATATTTTTTTTTATTGCAGAGATCTTTTTCTTCTTTTTCCATTAAAGTTGTAGGAGAAGAAAACATGATATTATAGACGCGTAGTATAAAGTTACTTTTCTGTAATTTCTTTCTAAGAGATTATTAGTCGAGATTTCACATACAAATAGCTATGTGTGTCATTTTATTTTATATCTATAAATATGTACATCTTCCCACACATCTAATATAAAATAATATTTTAAATATAAGTCTCTGCAAATGTAAGTTTAGATGTCTTACAAATTTGCATGTCTAACAAAGAAAGTCCGAACATATATTCGAGTGTTCTTGTTATTCTGCAGTTTTTCCAGTTATTGTTCGATGTTACAGTCGAACAAAACTGCTGTCGTTAATTTTCCTGTGTTTGATCGATATTAATAAAGATTTAAATAAATAAATAAACTATTTATTTATTTATACAGCAGAAAATGAACAAAAGAGTGAGTTTCAGTTGCGAGCCAAATTTCTCTCCTCCTTGTATAAAAGAAATATATAAATGTTAAGGTTTTTCTAGAGTAGGTAGTTAAGGTATAGCTTCAAAGCGATGTGAGAGACATAAAAATAAACAAATATCTTTCTAAAAGTTTTATGAAAATATCACTTATATCGTGAGTTTTATTAACATACACGCGTTGACAAAATTTATAAATGTTTACTTTTTTATCTATAAAAACATTACAGTATTCATACGGAACAATTTCTAATAGAAAAAACGTCTAAAAGAAAACTTTTAACTCTTAATAACTTGCTTAGCGAAGCAGACCGACGCTGTTTTTCTGTTCAATTCTTTCTTTTATGTGCGTCAAATGAGTATATTTAAGGATTGAGGAATTCTGAATAATTACCGAAAGAACTTTGTTCAGGAAAATGTGAAGAATTTGTGACACGCATAAAAAAAAAGATCATATATGATTATTTATATATCCAGTTAAACAAATTGCTAAGAAATTGTAAGCAGATTAGTTACAATTTCAAGAATACGCAATAAAACTGGGGTCATTTGTATATCATTTTTCACGGAAGTTTTACTACTTCTACAAAACGATCGTTATTGCAAAAATCTTTGTACGTGTGTTCATGACATAGTTTCAAATCAGAATATTTAGTTGTAAAAAATTGTATATACTCCGGATGAGCAGGATCAACTTCCAGGAAAAGAGATCCACCAGGTTTTAACACCTTAGCTGTATATTTTAAAAGCGGTTTAATCACTTTCAATCCATCGTCACCGCCATCCAATGCTCTGAGATCTTCGTAACTAAGTAATAAATAAAAAATAAGCTTTTTACTTAAAGCTCTCTCTATATGAAACAAATACGTAAAGTTTGTAATTATATTTCTTATTACATTTTTATCTCAGTCTGCAATGTCGGTATTATTTTCGTTGATACATATGGCGGATTACTGACCACAAAATCAAATTGCTTTGAATTTATATCTATATCATTATTGCCGTTTAACATACTTAAAACTTCAATAGTTGCATCTGGTTTCAAAACTGCATGCATTACCGTAATTTGATCTGTCAGATCTAGTTTATTTCGATTTGTTATTGTCAAGTTGCAGGCATGCAGATTCATGTCAATTGCTGTGCATTTTACCTAAAAATAGTAGTATGCATTACTTTTTGTTACCTCTGCAAGTTTTAATAAAAACCAACTAAATAAAAATATAACATCTCATGTGTACTTTTTTACTAGCGTGAGTTAGGGCTAAAGAAATAGCGCCTGATCCACAACCAATTTCTAATATTTCGTAACTATTGGCTTGCAATGCATTTAGTCTTTTCAACACAAAATCTACTAGTATTTCAGTCTCTGGGCGAGGAATGAAAATCGGTGGTACAAGTTTTAAAGTAATGTCCCGAAAATCCCATTCACCTATAATATATTGAATTGGCATCCTGTAAAGACTTGATGTTCATAAATAAACTAAAAGAATTTCTCAACGCGAATTGAGCATGTCTCTTACCTCAATAACCGACATTCACATAAAGATATCAGCTTTTCTTTCTGGCCCTCATTAAGACGATTATTTCTTACATTTACAATATCTGATATCTGCAAACAAGAAGAAAAATTTATAACATTTCTTCTGTTTCATTTCGAAGAACTGTCAACAGAGTTCTACTAAGAGTAGACAGATTTTTTTATTTTGATATAATCTGATATAATGTGTATAGTCATAAAATTCATATGTATACAATGTACATGTTTACTATTACTGGAATCCAAATAACTCGAAATAATAAATCATCTCAATAATTTGTTATAAATAAAAATGATCTCAAAGTTAATACCTTCTTAACTCCTATAATATGTGCCATTATAAATTCTATCGACTCTACCGGCTCCGATATGCCCTCGTTTTTAAATCGGTTACTCCACTGATCAATCATGTCACCTATCGTGCATTCATGAGCGTTCGAAGTAAACAGGCGTCTTACAGAATGCCTCAAGATAACATTGTTGATACCACTATTCGGTAAACATTGTAAACAATTAAATAAAATCGGAATTCCGCGGATATTATGTATCTTTAAGGAGTTTCGACACCACATGACAAATACAATATATTTTATTAATTAAACTCTCAAGAAATACAAATTTAGCTTGTTATTAATACTGCTATCATCAAGTGCAGAAATTCTATTGGACATTATTCTTAATTCAAAAACTCTTCGAATGCTGAAAAACCTTCTCCCAAGGCAGCGATAACGTAACTTTTTTCTTACAAAATCGTGAAAAGTAAAACGTTTCACGTTAACTCGTGATCACGTAACTCGATAAAGCTTGTAAGACAGTTCACGAAAACTTCTGGTTTGGTTTTGGTGCGCTTGTGGCTCTTGGACTGAGAAATCGGTTAGTTCATACGCCAGTCTGTGTCTGAATGTAGATATAAAGAATGTTAGCAAAAATATATGCTAAGAAATCGAAAAATTATGTTGTCGATTGAAGAAGACCGAGACTCGATACTTCCGCGACGACGGTTACTCAGGCCTTGTTTATGCGGGCAATAACCGGTAACTTATGCCGGAACTAGTAAAGTTCAACTATAGGATTTAAATGCTTCTGTTTCTACGCATTCGGCAATTTCGTATAACCAGAAGTATTGAAATCCTATAGTTGAACTTTACCAGTTCTGGCATAAGTTAACAGTTATTGCACGCGTAAATAAGGCCTCACTGTTCACCACACAATCATGGAAACTTCTTACTGGTTACTGGTGCCCTTATGGCTCAGTGGACCCTTACGGAAACTTCTTTGCTATCAAACCAGAGAGAAGCCTGAGAGCGGCCAGGTCCATAAAGCCCGTTCTACATTGATCGTAAGCGCAAACGCAAGGAACAGATCTCGTAGAATTGACCAATCACGCTGATCAATTGGCTGATTTGATCAATACGATTGGTCAATTCTACCAGACCTGTTCCTTGCGTTTGCGCTTGAGATCAATGTAGAACAGGCTTAAGAGAATTGTAATCACTTTTCCGCCCCGTAAACTAGCGCATGTCCACGGGTGGTGCACATTGGAACTACGTGGACATGCGCTAGTCTCTTATGGGTTTGGCCGCTCTTAGTCTTCTCTCTGCCCATAGACATCTTTTTCCGGTTGCTTTTATGCGCACACATGCGCAGATCGGCGTGTGAGAACCGTGTAGCGTTTCCTTCCGGTTTGTTAGAATTAGAGCCATTTCGATGCTGAACGAACTGGATTTCACTCATGACCGTTTAAACTTGACGATTGACCAGTGAAAGAATTTTCGTCGAAAGAGAAAATTATTTCGTAGACAGCGAAAGTTTGTTCCGAATCGTACGTTTTTTTTTCAATATGACGGCAATACCCGGGACTGTAGCTTTCGACGAGTTTGGTCGGCCTTTTATCATCATCAGAAATCAGGAGAAGCAGCAACGCCTCACCGGTCAGGACGCGATCAAGGTAAGCACGTTGAAAGATCTCGATTTGCATCGCCTATTGTGTCTTGAATAGGGAATACGTAACTTTCCTCTGACGGATGCTATTTGTCTCGTACGTATCTTGGATGATTTGCGGTTTTTATATGATGGGCCACGTGAGAGTAATAATGGCGACGTTTCGAGCGTGGCGACGATTGTAATAGTTCAGGTTAAATTTATATATAGAAAGATTTTCTCCCAGGCTTGTGTGTGGGCGACATTATTGGAGCCCGTACACGAAATAAATACAAAAAAAAAACAAGATTTTTCTGTCAATAAAAAATGTTTCTGTCAAGAAAAACGGTATTACCGGAAAGAATGTCTTATTTCTCGAAATTTCTCGGCTTTTGACTCGAATATACTTTGTATCACTGCATTCATATTTGTGTGTGGTTTTCATATTTTTTTCGGAAATATCTTTAAAGAATTTGCTATTCTTTTTTGTGTTCATATAAGGCAATAATTCAGCAAAATTATAGAAGACAGAAAAATTAGTACATATTAATGAGTCATGTACATCTCTATGGATTTCTAGTTTAGTGTAAATTTGACAAACTGGCAAAGCCGACGTAGTTAAAATAAATTATTTATTAAATAAGAAAATTATGTAGTTAAATGGAAATAAATTTTTTTAATATAATCACAAAGAGAGTACAATAACAAAATTATATATAATTTTTTTTTTTCAAGTTAAAATGTTTTCTATATAAGAATTATTCTTGCAGTCACATATTTTGGCAGCAAGACATGTGGCCAACATTCTTAGAACATCTCTGGGACCAAAGGGATTGGATAAGTTAATGGTTAGCTCTGATGGAGATGTTACCGTAACTAATGACGGCGCTACAATCTTGAAGAATATGGATGTGGATCATGAAATTGCTAAGCTGATGGTCCAGTTGTCAAAATCTCAGGATGATGAAATTGGTGATGGTACTACCGGAGTAGTTGTGTTAGCCGGTGCACTTTTAGAACAAGCCGAACAGTTGTTAGACAAAGGAATTCATCCAATTAGAATAGCTGATGGTTTTGAACTAGCAGCCAAGTGTGCCACAGAACATTTAAAAACGATAACAGATGACTTTGCTGGAACTCCAGAAAATTTGGAACCTTACATTGATATCGCTATGACTTCGCTTGGCTCAAAAATGTAACAAGGCAGTTTTATCGCTTTTATAAATATTAATCACGATTTGATTTTATTTATGTACGTTCAATTTATTTTACAGCATTAACAAGCATCACAGACAAATGGCAGAAATTGCTGTGAAGGCAGTACTTGCAGTTATGGATTCTGAAACTCGTGATGTTAATTTTGAACTAATCAAAATAGAAGGAAAAGTCGGTGGTCGATTGGAAGATACTATCTTGGTGCATGGAGTTGTAATCGACAAAAATTTTAGCCATCCCCAAATGCCGAAGGTCAAATTAACAAAACTACTTTAAACTAAATTTTTACTTTACAATGTTAAATTAATATCTGAGTAATTAATATTATGTTTAATATTACACAACAGAGGTTAGAGGACGCTAAACTGGCCATTCTGACGTGTCCGTTTGAGCCACCAAAACCTAAAACAAAATACAAGTTAGACGTTACATCGGTCGATGACTACAAAGCTTTACGAGATTATGAACGCGAAAAGTTTACGGAAATGGTGAAACTTGTCAAGGATGCAGGTACAACTTTGGCTATTTGTCAATGGGGATTCGATGACGAAGCCAACCACCTTCTGTTGCAGAACAATTTGCCTGCAGTGAGATGGGTTGGTGGTCCAGAAATCGAAGTAAGTGTTGTCTTTATAAATATAGTTCAATTTTGAATTTTATTTTAATTATGTTAAGATTATACAATTGTTAATTTTTTCCAATGATGACAAAAAGCGCTTTGAGGAGGTGCGTGAATTCGGAAAACTAGTTTTTCAATTTTGTCTGTACTAATCTTTCCTCACAAGTTAATGTTACATTAACTTGTGAAGAAAATAGAGGTACTTTCAAAAGTGTCTAATCAGTGATCTGATTCCCGCTGTGGCTCCAGTGATCCAAAGATTATGAGATCTGAGGAATTTGTGATTGTTTCTCTTATTATGGATTTAGCATTTTATTTTTTCGGTACGCATGAAGGAATTTAATTTCTTTTTCAGCTAATCGCTATTGCGACCGGTGGACGTATTGTACCTCGTTTCGAAGAACTGACGCCAGAAAAGCTCGGCCATGCTGGTGTCGTTAGAGAACTAGCATTTGGTACAACAAAAGATCGAATGTTAGTTATCGAAGACTGCAAAAACTCCCGTGCCGTAACGATCTTCATCCGTGGTGGCAACAAAATGGTATGAAAAAAGAAGAAAAAAAAAAGATATTTAATAAAACTCGTTTCTACGCAAGGGGAATTTCAATTGTACTCGTCTCGTACATAATTGATCAGACACCTTGCAATAGTAACGTATCGCACTACTATAAGAACTGTTGAAGTTTTCTCGTTAATTGATTTCAATTTTTTGTGTGATGCAACATTTATTTATTTATTTATTTATTTTATTGCGTTATTTAAATATTAACTTCTAAAAACAAAATTTACAGTTTATAATAAAATGTGCGCGTATACTGTTTGCAGATAATCGAAGAGGCAAAGCGGTCGATACACGACGCATTGTGTACCGTGCGAAATGTTGTCAAAGACAAGAAGATTTTGTACGGTGGAGGCGCGGCGGAAATATCTTGCGCGCTGGCGTGCGCGGCACAAGCCGATAAAATCAGCACCCTAGAACAGTATGCCTTCCGTGCTTTTGCCGAAGCCCTGGAAAGCGTTCCCATGGCGCTCGCGGAGAATTCCGGTCTTTCTCCGGTCGATACCATAGCAGAAATTAAAGCGCGTCAATTAGCCGAAAAGAATCCCGCTCTCGGTATCGATTGCTTAAATCGAGGCACCGCAAGTACGTATCAATTACGTATACATAGGTTTGTAAATTATCTTGCGTATTTATGTGGAAATTCATTACGAAAATTTGGTGTTTGCAGATATGAAGAAACAGAACGTCATTGAAACGCTGACGAGTAAGACGCAACAAATTTTGTTGGCCACGCAGCTAGTTAAGATGATTCTGAAAATTGATGATATACGGTCACCTGGTAACGACTTTGGTGATGCTTAAAAAAAAAATCGAAAATATTATTAAGTCTAAATATTCTCGTCTATATTGTTAATATTAAATCTTATTTAATATTTTAATTAGTACTCATTTATTGCTTTTTATTGCGTTTGCATTTGTAATAAATAACATTCTAATGTTCTTATTTGAGCTACGTTATTCACTGTCTGAAGATCTATATAGTTCAAGCGACATATATTGATTGAGATTCATTTGTTTTCCGCTACTTACACAACCACCCGTATATATAATTTCATACAGAAATATTGTTTTGCGCTTTGGCATGGCACTGGCTTTTTTTCGTTTTCAAATTTGTTTATTCTTAAAAGGATTTTTACAGGAAGCACTTACCATTCTCCATATGGTTTTAGATTTGAGATAAACAAAGACAATCTTCGCGTTGATGAACGTAACGGAAAGATATTAGCAGAGACTTTCTACGTTCGTCGCGTATTTCTTTGTTTTTTTTTCTCTAAGTTTGCACAACACATTCTTATGTTTAAAGTTTTTGTTGTATTTTTCTATGTCATTTCAAATAAATAAATTAGGAAATGAGAATAACGAAAACGATAGATGTGCCGGTGCTTCAAAACGCAAAAAAGCGTCGACTCCGATTTAAATCTTTTTATACAATAGAAAGGTATTACTAACGTATATTACTTTTTATCTTTGTACCAGAGAGTGATGATATGAAATCATGTTTAATTGACATCTGGTTTCTCAAGTGTTTTTTTTTTTTTTTTTTTTCCCCTATCTTTCGCGTACTTCTGTTCTTCTTTTACATTTTTATAGCTTATAAAGTGCACTTATGTCATTGCAATGATTATTATATGGTCTTTAATGAAGAGATGAAGAAATGATGATGAAAGACTGCTTCTCTCGCGTAAAAGCGTTAGAAATGAGAATAAGAACTGTCATCAACAGCTTTTATTTTTTCACTGTAGGAACAAATAAATATGTCACATCGAGTCAAGGTATAATTGTGTGTAAATATATTCTATATGTAACAGTTTTCGGGGAAGGAGAAGGATTCTTTCTTTTTCTCTTACTCTCTCTTCAGACGCCGTTTTTTTTGTGGAATGTGTTTGTAATGCGCAAAATTAATGGCAGACCGAAATGAAAAAATTATATATATATCGTTACGATCTACTCGTAAAATGGCACAAAAAAATACACAATCGCATACACACGTACATATATAAATTAGAGTGTACAATACTATATACTCCTGGTTTCTCTTTCGGTTGCGCTCATTTTGGTTTTTTTTTTTTGTTTTTGTTTTTTTCGTTCTCTTCTTTCGGCCCGTATAATATCGGACTCGCTATTTATAGACACAAATCTTCTTCCGCGTATCACAAAATATACAATTCTATTCCAAACGTAACGTATATCTCTCTTATCTCACCGTGCGATTTCTTTTTACATTACATTACTTACATCTTCAACAACTTTTCAACATTATTCACATACGTACGAAGTTCTTACACAAGGAGAATCTATTGTGTGCCATTATTAGCGCGAAAATAATTCAAAATTATTTCTTGCAACATTGTTACATCACGTGAAATAAAAAAACAATTAAAAAATGGATTATGTGGAAAAATATCGATTTATCCTTCAAAAAATCCATTCAAAATGAACAAAAATCACTCTAAATGGTACAATTATTCCGAATAATGATTTCCCGTGTTTGTTTCTTTCTCAATATTTGATTAAGAGTTGATTAATAAAATATCGTAAAAAACAAAAAAAAACAACATGAGATCCTTGTAGGAACTTTGTACATGCCTCCCTTACCTTTCAACAACATGCAACGCTATACAGTAACAATAACGAAATATATCGCTCTCTTCCTCTTACTTACCGAGACTCGATTATCTATCTACATAAACAGAATTGACTTGAAATGCGAGCGCGACGACGGAATGACGACGTATCGTAAGATCTGCAAATTACCCGAGTAAAAAAGAAACATATAAATCGTGATACCGATGGAGGAGCCGTCCTCGATACGCCTACGTAGCCGAATTATACATTTATATCGCTACGGCTAACTTTCGTACGAACAAATGGGGCTAAGCGACTTTCGGTTATTCGCGAATAAACGTTTCTCAACTAAAGGCGGATATAGTAGAATGGGAATCTTTACCGGGATCGTATGCGTGTGTGTGCTTGCATTACACTCTCTTGAGCATGGGTAAGTGAAGCACCTCAGGTACCTCGATGTCTTCTAGTCGAATGTCCGACGGATTGAATGGGAATCTTACGGGATAGGAATACTTTACATCCATTAACAGCTGAAAATAAGAAAACATTCAAATTGTTCAATATGGCGTTCTACGTATTTCGTTTTTTTCTTCGAATTTCTCTCAATAATTGGGCACAAACAATTTATTTTGATTGTTCGTAAAAAAAAAACACTTACTTGTTCGTTGTTCTCGCCGCGTTCCTTCAATTTCTCTTGTACTTTCTTAATAAACGATACAGGAACTCGGGTCTCGTAATCATCGGCAGGTGTGTACAGATTCAAGATTTTTACTATTTGATTGGCCGTCAACTTGTTGCACATTTCGCAAACGGAATTAACATCCTCGTCTGTTTTACGCGCTTGCAGAAGTTGCGACGCCTGTATGATGGGCTGGAGTGCTTCCGACGCAGCTTCCAATCGCCTGTCTCTACTCCATTGCTCTAAATGACTCATATTGTACCTAGAACAAAACAAACGGAGAGTAAATCATTGTGAAAAATACATAAAAATATTTCGCATAATTAAACGTAAAGTTTATCAATTTTTTTAATTTACATATATTTATCATATCAACTAAGTAGAAGCAATATCGTAACTCAAAGTCTCGATTTCTTCGATCTTACCTTATTTGCATACCCTTCGTCCATCTGCAAAGCTCGTTCCTCAGCAATAAGTTATTCAGAGCGCTGGCGCACATGAAGTAAAACAGTTGTTTGAACAGTTGCATCACGACCTCGGGATCCACCCCGTGAAACTGTAAGGTCTTGTGAACTAATGTCAGCTCGTCGAGAAGTTTGTCCAGTTTCTGTTGCGTAGAATCGGGTTCGCCGCCTACGGAAGACGATCTGGGTCGTCCAGTCTTATCAATCGGAACTGGTATCGCTTCGTGTTCCAACAAAGCAGGCACCGTGAGCGCCTGAATTCTCTCTTTGAGATTCGTCACGAGATTGTTGAAGATCCAGAGCGCCATGTTGCTTAGCACGACGCGATACTCGCCCAGATCGAAGTTTCTCAAACATTGCTCGTTCTGTCTAGGCGTGTTCTCGATCTGGAACGGCTTGTCACCGGAATATTGCTTCAGATTATGCAACAGCCGCAAGGTGTTGCTGAGCCAGAGTACTCTATAGTCGAAGTCGTCGCGTTTCTTCAGCACGCGTTTAACTGCGCTCAGGTAGTCGGTTAACAACAACCGCACCTTGTCGTCGTCGTTGATGTAGTCGGTGTGTCTGATGCACATGAAGAGAATGTAGGCGGGCAAGCCCGGCAATAACGTCACTGAGATTCGGGGTTTCAGTTCTAAAAAGAATATTATAGATACAGTTAATTATAGTAAGTTAATTAGTAAAGTTGTTACTTATATGTATATATATATATATATATATTTTTTTTTTTTTTATCAAACTCTTGAGAGTACCGAAAAATCGTTACCGAGACTTACCAATAACTAAATGACGGATAATCACGTTGATATCCTCTTTTCTGAATTCGAACATTCCCTCGTATTCCCTTTCTTTCTTACGAATAGCAGGCATGTTACTGTTTTCTCCGTGAGTACTGGACACGACGGTGGTTTCATTCGAGTGTTCCACCGTGTTAGGCACTGCAAATTATGACATTCAGAATTAATGCGATGTCTTTGTAAATTTTGGAAAAACGTCTCGTCGAATTGTGCCATGTGCTTGACACAAGCGATGGTGAGTTATGGTCTCTGGTGGTTACTATCCGAACAACTATTCGAGAAGTCTGTGATATTTTCTAGTTTATTAATAATTGACTTTTTTATCCTCTCGAAAATAATCATAAAAAAAATAATTAATATTATCTAAGTAAAAGTTTAAAAGGCTTATATGCAATAGAATAACAAAAGAGCAAATTGTAAAGTGTTATCGATCATTATTTATTAAATTTGACCTCATAAAAATATTCAAATTGTCATTATTTATGACAAAACGCGATAATAACCTGTTAACGAAACTTTTCAAATCTGCAAGATCTTCTTTAACGATTTACAATCAAATCTAATCGATGTAAATCAACAAAGTCAAAAACTAAAAACCAAAAGGTTGTTTTCGTAAACACATAAAATCAAAAACATGTTTCGAATCGAATCAACAGTTTATGTAACTATATATTATATGTGTTTAATTTTTGTAAATTTTAGTTTTATTGAGAAAAAACTTGTTTCTTTGAATGCAAACTTTTCGAATAGTTTAACAGGAAAAATGCGATGATTGATGATGCGCCTGTCACGACCACACACTCACCGGCGCTTCTTAACACATACGGACGCTCCTCTCCTTCGACTTTGAAAGCGTTGCGGAATAAAGTAATTTATAATACGTGGCGTGAGTAATTTTACTTAACGACAGTACGTCGTCAATTATTTTTTTCTTATTTTTTTTTTTCAATAAGATACAGGTATTTATACTTACAACCAGCATCCTTCAGTCGTTTCGCCAGAATTCTGCATTGCTTTTTGTAGCGTCTGCATTCTTCCGCTATTTTATCGTATCTCTCTTGTAGATCCTTAAATGTATAAAATACAGTAGAGATATAAATCTTGTTAAAAACACGTACTCAGCAGTGTAATCGATATTAAAAATTTATACCGTCACGTACCAAATTTTCAGACGTTAGTCTGGCAACTTCGTGCTGCATGTAAAGTTCCGTCTGCGTCTGCGGCGACTTGCTCAAATTGATAGAGAGCAGCTTCTGCTGTCTCTCTATTTCTTCCTGCAACCTGTCTATCTCGTTTCGCCATTCGTCTCTCTGCGATCGCCAACTCTTTTCTTTCGCCTGCAGCTCGTCTTCCAGTTGTCTTCAAAATGGAAAATATTCAAATGTTTTTAATTTTTGATAAATATATTACGAGGAAATTTCTTGAATTGTTCAATCTCAAATAAATCGATTAAGTGTGATAAGCATGACGTCATGCCTGATTTACTAATACCGTTATGAAATGAGAAACACCAGAGTTCGAGAGATAATGACCAGAGCAAAGAAATATTGTCGGGAAGATTGCGAAAAATTTAGCATGATCTCGTAGCGCTGGTAATAAAAAATTTTGCTAATATCAATGAGTTGAATTAATAAACACTCGATGCTTCAAGACGTTCATGATAAATTGTGACAAATTAAAGAATTTCTTTGTTTGATTGAACAGTTCAACGAACGAGCTTAAACGAATTGCACGTGGATCTGCTCAACTCACTCTCCACTCGATGCCTTTTGGTTTGTCTTAAGTTTACTGAAAATCGAAGTGCATGCACAAACGACAAAAGACTGTTGTTAGACACGATACTTAAAAAATTTGGTAGTCAACAGGATCTCGTTGAAAGCGTTTTATCTCACGTTACCTGTTAATCTTCTTCTGCGCTTCAAAGGCGAGTACCAGCTCGCCGTCCTCGTTTATGATATCCACGTCGCGACCGTAATTGGCGCCTAAACTCTTCATTCTACGTGTATGATCGGCCAGGACGCTGTGCAACTGAATACACTCTTCTCTTCTCCTTTCCAGTTCCTCTTGCAGCGCCTCGAATTGCACTACAATATGTCACAGTATATGTATTAAATTTCTTATTTGTGTATTATTACGTTACTCCAAACTTATTAGCTCGCATACAAAAAAAATAAAAGCGTTCCATTGCGTTAAGCGCGTACAAGATCAAGAAAACTACTTAAATATACAATATTTCAACAAATTATAGCTTGGGTTTGTGTTGATGACATGAAACTTACACTGTTTACATGTGCTTGAAGCGCGTCTTTAGCGATTACGGAAAAGGTGGGGGATAGATTATCGATAATATTGACGATAAGCAGTGTAGGAAACCGGTATGAGTTTAGACGATGAAATAAATCGAAAGAAATAACAGTTTTCATAAATGCTGACACGATAAGTTAATGCTAAAGCTGATGTTTGCCATCAAAAGAGACAGCGGATAAAGACAGAAAAGATAGCAGTAGGATAAAAAGTAGAAAGCACACAGTTTATAGATAGAGGTAGAGCGTTTATCTATATATGTTATGCTTTTCAAACTTCAATTACAAAAATAATATTAACACAAAATAATATCAACATGTAACGCTTTTTAATAAATGTAATGCAGAAAAAAATCAATGAAAGATAATAATAAATTACTCATGAGATTTTGTTGCGCTGACGACGGGCTGGACGATGATACGGTCTTCCTCAGAGAGTTCAAGTTTTTCTTAAGTTGTGCATTTTCCATTTCCAGTTCCTGAAGCTGCAAAACCATTTGTTTTGCTTCGTCATTAATCCAGTGGTGATAACGATAAGATAACCAGAGATAAGCAAAATAAAATCTATGTATTATACAATAATTCTAATAACAACGACGAAGTTCGCACGCGAGGTGGAAATCGCGATAAGACAACAAAAGTCAATATAGAACAAAAGACGTTAAACACAACAATAAAAACCTTCCATAAAAAGATACATTTGTAATGTACTATTTTTTTAAATGTAGTTTTTATATACCCTGAACGAATCCTGCGTTCTGGTAGACTCCTCGTTACTATCGCGTTCCATGTCCTCGACCATTCTGATCAGTCTGCCTTTCTCTTTCTCGACGTCCTTCAGCTTTTGTTGCAGTTTTAGAACCAAACCAATGTCCACAGGTGCATGCGCAGGTCCGTTCAATTCCGATGGCGACTTGTTGGATTGAACTTCACCGTCCGGTGGGCTATCCGATCGTTGTTGATTCCAATCGATAGTTTCCACTCGCGAATAAGGCGTCGACGAAGATGCCGTGGACCTTACGGAACCGTAGCCAAAATCCTAGAGAAAGGAAGAAATTAGAGAAGTAAGAAGAAAACAAATAAAATCACACAAGTTTAATTTTGTGTTGTTTAATTAAAATAAAAAACTTTTTTTTTTTTTTGAGATTATTTTCAAAATTATTATCCTATATGGATATTGACTTACGATGTTCTGATCGTCCTGCGGAAGATCTGTGGACGTGACATGATCGTTGTTGCTCGAAGCGTTGCTCAACGAGCGCGAGTGTCCAAGCAATCCTTGTGCCGCCAGTTTTTGTTCCAGTATCTCCGCATGTTGTTCCAGATCGTGATATTCCTTGAGCAGTCGTTGATACGCTCCACGATCCTGATCCTGTTCCATTCGGATCAGATCTTTTTCTTGCTCGAGTCGATACTTCAGATTCTCCTCGGCACCACGTTGGTTGCTCTTCAGTTTCTCGGTCGCTATCAAGAGTTCCTTTCGTAATCTCTCGTTTTCTTCTCGCAGCAGTTTGTTTTCTTGGTCCTTCTTTAGAGCGATTTTCTCTTTGTCGTGTAATATGTCCATTTTCTCGTCAGTCTCCTTTTGCAGATACTCCTGCATCTTTTTCAGCTCCTTCTCTTTCTCCAGCACCACTCCATTCAATTTCTTATTCTCAATGTCAACGGACTTCAAAACGTCCAGTTTGCACTTCAAGTCAACCATTTCGTTCTGTACATTCTTCAAGTGTTGATTTTCTTTTGTCTGAAAAAAAAAACAAATTTACGATGCCTTTGAGATACAATGTTCTTCTTACGTGTCGTTGAAAGAATATATCAATTTTTGACTATACCCAGCAAACAATTTCTGTTTTTGACAATTTCGGCGCAGACCTTGGTAACAGAAATTGTTTGCAGAAATGCTACAATACGGAAACACCGCCAAAATTGTTAGCACACAGAAAGAAAAAACGCAACAACTCTGTTGACAAATACATGAGA